TATATTTGATGAAAATGAGGAGTTTGTTATACATTTCATTTTAAGATAAATGAAAATATCTTTTTGTTTTTAATGTGTGCGTTTTGGGTGGGGCGGGGTCTTAGTTTTTAGGAAATGAGCTAGGACAAATAATTTTTTGATGTCACAGAAAGATTTAGTTGTGGTAGTACGAGGCAACGTGATGAATCCCGCTGCTGATTTGACCGTAAACATAAATTATACATTATACATATCCCCTTTAAAGGAATACAGAGACAGTTATGGCACATACAGAGATGATGAATAACACAAAGTAGACTACTGATCAGCGTACATATGCTGGAACACTATTGCACAACTGGCTGTAGTGTGACACGAGGTAGAACCTCCGTGTCCCACTGTAACCAGTTCATTGTACCTCCATGTCCCACTGTAACCACTTCATTCTACCTCCCTGTCCCACTGTAACCACTTCATTCTACCTCTGTGTCCCACTGTAATCACTTCATTCTACCTCCCTGTCCCACTGTAACCACTTCATTCTACCTCTGTGTCCCACTGTAATCACTTCATTCTACCTCCGTGTCCCACTGTAACCAGTTCATTCTACCTCCGTGTCCCACTGTAACCACTTCATTCTACCTCCGTGTCCCACTGTAACCACTTCATTCTACCTCTGTGTCCCACTGTAACCACTTCATTCTACCTCCGTGTCCCACTGTAACCACTTCATTCTACCTCCCTGTCCCACTGTAACCACTTCATTCTACCTGCGTGTCCCACTGTCCCACTGTAACGACTTCATTCTACCTCCCTGTCCCACTGTAACCACTTCATTCTACCTCCGTGTCCCACTGTAACCACTTCATTCTACCTCCGTGTCCCACTGTAACCACTTCATTCTACCTCCGTGTCCCACTGTACCCACTAACTATTTGATCCTGGAGGTTTCCAACATGATAGACATAAAGTCACATGACATGAAGCAACGCCACTACTGGAGCTCCAGCTCTGCAGCTAGAGCACCGTGCCCACCGTCACGACACAGCTTTTCAGAAAGGACCCTTTTTTTATTGTTGCTCTGGACAAAATATAGAAGCCTGCGGAGACACACACACACAAGAAGCACTTTTAGTAAGTCTGTGTTTCGAAGCCATGTGCCCTCAAACAGTGCCTCTCTCAATAAAACATGGTGGTTCCTTGTTAATCTTTAATAGTTCTGTCCTTGAGAATTAACCCAGATGAACACACATATAGGGCACCACACAAACACACACACACGTTCTTCCTTCTCAATCTTATTCTATTTTCCCCTCACTTCATCTACCTCCCGATAGTCCTTTCCCCTCTCCTTTCCTTCCTCCTTTTCCTTTATCGTTGTCTTTCCTTTACATTCCTTGGGAACAGAAGAGAAGGACAACCTCAGGTGGGAGAATAAAACAGAGGAAGGTTGTTGAAGAGGCCGGGTGAAGAACACAGAACAATCTGAGGGAGAGGAAAGAAGGGAAGGAGACAGGAGGAGAAAGGTGGAGCAGCAACCGGAAGGGAAAAGGACAAACTTGGCATTGAGCGATCGATCGTGGGGTAATTCGATAAAAGATTCATGTTGCAATGCTCGCTGGGAGGTTTGCCTCAGGGCCGGGGCGGCACACCTGGTCTACATCTTTCTGTTGGCTATCGCTTGTGTGTAATTTGGTGATGTGGATGGTAATGATTGTCAGATTAGGATTATCCGGTTGATTACATCTAGATTATTGCGGCAGTCCAACAGCAACCCCCCACCGACCCGGCTTTGAGTCACAGTCATCGCCGCCGGGCCTCTCCATCTCCTGTCGGACCCAGTGAAACGCACAAAGAGCCGGCCAATAACAACCGCAACCGAGGAAACCGTTTTGCTTTTTAAATCTCGTGCTGCGGCTCGCGGCTCTCCGTTCTCCCTCGTTGCCGGGTCACGTGACGCCATCTGCGGCACCCACGGTCCGTCTGTGAGCGGTCCAGCGCCGCCCCCTGCTGGCCGCATCGGCGAACTGCATGACCAGTGCGCGTGTGGCTGCGCGAGGGAGATACATCTCCATAGTAACAAACGCACGCTCTCAAAGAGCCAGGTAAAGGTGTTCGCACCAACTGTCAACACATTTACATGCAGATGAAACTTTTGGTTGCCATGGTGTTAGAGCGGCTACTAATACTAGTTATTTTTGCTTATAGAAGGTGGGTGCAGATATGGAATATAGAGGTTGCCACTTTCCAAAGAATATTCTAATGTTGTCGATCAGCTCTCAAGAGTCTCTGTAATCCAGACACAAAACACCATATTAGTAATGACATAATAATCAGGATTTGCTTCAAACATAAGCCTACAGCCGGTTAGCTTAGCACTTCAACTGGGAACAGAGTCAAACAGCGCGCCGAAAGGTTACCGAAAAACATAAATATTGTGTGCTTAAATTATCTTGGATTGCTTCACGTTTTCCAGCACGCTGGTCTCTGATAGCGTTTTGTATGAACGGACATGTTTTTCTTTACATTAGATTTCTGACACAAGGCTACAGTCTCATGACAAATCAGGCGGACGCCGTTTTTCAGGTTTCTGGTAAAAAAAACAAATACTGAAACCCTTCCTTATTAACTTACCTTGCTGTGTCCATGACGGGTCAGAGCAGATTAAAAAAAACTAAAATGTGCCACTGACCAGTTTATTATTTGAGTTTTCTGAAAAAAAACATATGAAGTATATATTTTAGGATGTTCCTTTTTATGAAGGTTCTATAAAATGGTTTATCAAAGCTGGTGAATCAAAGCAATCAATTGTCTGTGATTTAACGACAACACGTCTGACTGGACTTGATTGATATCTCCATCAATCCACTGTGAAACGTTAAGGGCGGGACCAGACGGGCATCGTTCCCATTGGTCGGTAGAGTCCTGTGACATCATATTGTTCCAATCATAGCTCCACCCAGCTTCAAACTGACCACAGGGCCAATCAACCACGGGACAGTTAACACCTGTGTGGGCGGACAGGGCCTTTAAGAGTTTTAGGATACGCAGACATATGAATAGCCTTGGATGTATATTCTCAATAAAAAGAAAAGGTTATCAACAATCCGGTTTAAGTTGTCATATTCTAAGTGGATCTTCAACAAGTTGTGATTGCATATCTGATTATTTTTCTCATTTAATTATTTAGGATTAAAGTGCACTTGTATATTTTAAATAAATCAAGTCCACTGAAAGGTCTCTGTTCACTGTTAATAACAGATTTAGCATAGTCGCGTCGTGCAGACGCAAATCTCGTCCCACGCAGCGGAGCTTCAGCTCTTCTCGCCGCACCAGCGACTTGTCACCAAAGATGGCGATTTGCTGAGTGCTCATGGATACACACATTTCTCGGCTCGTCGTTGTCTCCCCAGAAACGCCAAACTTAACAACAAATTAACTGCTCAGCGACCGACTATTTCTCCGCTGGATGCCCTTCTGACCGCAACCATGCAGATCACGCTGAAAACGCTGCAACAGCAGACCATCCAGATCGAGATAGACCCCGAGCAAACGGTGAGTGGCTGCTAGCTAACTTGCTAACTTTTAGCTAACAGCACCAGCTGCGGGTGCAATGTCTCACCTTTGCGTGTAGACTTAACAGTTGTATTTGACATTTCCAACACGATAGCATTTAACGCAGTCTCTACGAAAGCGGGGCCAGGCAGCGGCACCTGCGCGAAGCGGTTCCAAAACATCGCTAAAGCTCACTCGCAACCGCTAGCTAGTTAGCTAGCAGCACGTTAACAAAAGTCCTCGCGACGCCACCGGGTTTCTTGTCGTTTTAAGTTCGCCCCGTCGGGCCGTCGCTGCTCGTCAGAAACACCCAATGTGAACGAGACTGTTCAGCGGCGACGTCTGTGGCGACCACGAGCTTCCCCCCCGCCCGCCCCGTACGGATCGACTGTCATTGCTAATGCTAACGCGTATGACACTGCTAATTACGACGAGCCTCCTTATTGGCGCTGGCTAAGTTTGTTAGCATGTTCACACAATTTGACATGGCGCTAGCTAGGCCAGCAGGGTTACTCACAGCGCACACCACCCAGATACTGCGCCCTATTCCCCTTTATAGTGTGCGGAGGGATACGCTGCATGTGGAATAAACTGGTCTTACTCATCCCACTTTAGCAAGTCAGCCATTAAGCCTCCCTCCCCGCTGAGGACACTGGTCCGCCTGGACCATTTGTAGAAAGTTGAGCTCCTGTGACGTCATGGATCCAAGCCGGGCATCTTACTACACCTTATTACATCTAATGGATATTAGTGATTAGAAATAAAAGCATTGCGAGACAAATTGGGAAGTCCTTGTGTGTCGATGGTTAATATTCCTCTCCTCTTTTCTCAGGTGAAGGCCTTAAAAGAGAAGATAGAAACGGAAAGAGGAAAAGACAACTTTCCCGTATCTGGGCAGAAGCTGATATATGCCGGAAAGATCCTGCAAGATGACACGCCCATTAAAGACTACAACATTGATGAGAAGAACTTTGTGGTGGTGATGGTTTCCAAGGTAAGATCATAGTGGATTGTAATGTCCTGCTGACGTTTTAGTGTGGTCTACTTATGTGGATTTTGAAAAATACATTTTTATACAATTAAAGGCCCAATGAGTAATAGTAATAGTTCCTTTACTAGCTCTACTCATCACTCGAAGTGTGTGCCGTGTCTTTATCTGTATCTTACTCTCTGGATTTTACTGGGCGGCAACCTCATTTAAAATCAAAGCGCCTGGCTCGTAAACCTGTATCCAAGAGGCAGCTACAGAACAGGCGACCACAACGCGAAAAATAGTGAGCCAAGCCCCTAGTTGGGCCAGACAGTGGGGACTGATTCTGAATGTTGTGTATACACAACACGGGTCTAACCACACCGTCTCCTGAACTTGCTGAAAGGCTAAGCCCACCGCCGCAGCTGCCGCTGCCGCTGCCACCTCGCCCCCGGCCTCGGAAGCCCCCAAACCCTCTGTGCAGGACTCTGGCTCCACGTCGACAGCTGTCCCGGCTACAACCTCGGCCCCAGTCGCTGCCCCGGCAGCTGTCCCCATTCCCCCCGAGGAGGCCAAAGAGGAGCCAAGCGCCGACGCCACGGAGCCGCAGCCGGCCAGGTAGAAGCCGTCTGGGAGAATCCACTTTACAAAAGCAAAGTTCAATATTTAACTCGGTAGTCCTCATTGTCCAACTTTTAATGACTTACAGGTGACTTTTTGAGTTAGTCATTCGTCATTAAATGAGCACTACAGAACATAACGTTTGAATGCCTTCATTTATTATAAATAACCGTTAATTTAGCTACTTTCAATTAAGGGTCCGCTTCACTAGCGTTGATTTGTTAAATGGTTATAAATGATGCCTGGTTTCTTGCTGTGTCATAATTGACATGTTCTTTATTGTATCAGTGTGCTTAAATTGTCCTTACTGTGTTATGATAGTGACTCTCTGAGCAGATGTGCTGCAGACCTACAGCTGTGTGGCACTGAGGTCACTAAGATCTAACATTGATGTTCTCTAATATCTAAGCCAATTATTTACTTAAAGGAATCAGGAACATTTATTGCCAAAGTATGTTAGACATACAAGCACTTTGTCATGGCGGTGGGTGTGTAACCTTGGGCAGTGAGACATGGACAACAAGACAAATCACACAGAAAAATGAGCCGTCCAAAGGAAGGAATGGAGACGTGGATGTGGTCATTGTGCGTCTCATTACGCTGCAGCGTGTTGTCTGACTTTCCTCCTCGTCTCGTAGCTCCAGCGCCGCCGGTCAGGGTTTGGATGCTTCCTCAGCGCTCGGTAGGTAACGCACAAAGTCCTTTTAGACAATAGAATGTCATAAATGGGTTCACACCACAGAATTCAGTGTAAATGTAGGTTTATATTTGTTGGGCCATAAAT